ATCATAAGCAGTAGTTACTTTCTTTTAATTTTTATTTTCTAATTTAATTTTTATTTTATATTGGGGTATAGTTGATTTACAATGTTGTATTAGTTTCAGGTGTATAGCAAAGTGGTTCAGTTATATATGTACATATATCCATTCTTTTTCAGATTCTTTTCGCATATAGATCATTACAGAACACTGAGTATAGTCCCCTGTGCTAGAGAGTAGGTCCTTGTTGATTATCTATTTTATATAAAGTGGTGTGTATCTCTTAATCCCAAATTCCTAATTTATCCCTCCCCCCACCTTTCTCCTTTGGTAACCATAAATTTGTTTTTGAAAACAATGAGTCTTTCTGTTTTGTAAATAAGTTCATTTGTATCATCTTTTTAGAGTCCACATATAAGTGATATCATATGATATTTGTCTTTCTCTGTCCAATTTACTTCACTTAGTATGATAATCTCTAGGTCCATCCATGTTGCTGCAAATGGCATTATCTCTTTTTTTTTTATGGCTGAGGAACATTGCACTGTATACATTTACCACATCTTTATCCATTCCTCTGTCAATGGACATTTAGGCTGCTTCCATGTCTTGGCTATTGTAAACAGTGCTGCAATGAACATTGGGGTGCATGTATCTTTTTGAATTACGGTTTTCTCCAGATATATGCCCAGGAGTGGGATTGCTAGATCATATGCTAGTTCTATTAATTTTTTTAGCTTTTTAAGGAAACTTCCACACTGTCCTCCATAGTGGTTGTACTAATTTACATTCCCACCAACAGTGTAGGAGGGTTCCCTTTTCTCCACACCCTCTCCAGCATTTATTGTTTGTAGACTTTTTGATGATGGCCATTCTGACCAGTGTGAGGTGATACCTCATTGTAGCTTTTATTTGCGTTTCTCTAATAATTAGCAAAGTTGGGCATCTTTTCATGTGTTTTTTGGCCATCTGTATGTCTTCTTTGGAGAAATGTCTATTTAGATCTTCTGCCAATTTTTTGATTGGGTTGTTTTTGTTTTTTTGATATTGAGCTGCATGAGCTATTTGTATATTCTGGAGATTAATCGCTTGTCGGTCACTTCATTTGCAAATATATTCTCCCTTTCTGTGGGTTGTTTTTTCATTTTGTTTATGATTTCCTTTGCTGTGAAAAAGCTTTTAAGTTTAATTAGGCCCCATTTGTGTATTTTTGTTTTTATTTTCACTACTCTAGGAGGTGGATACAAAAAGATATTTCTATAATTTATGTCAGAGTGTTCTGCCTATATTTTCCTCTAAGAGTTTTATAGTATCTGGTCTTACATTTAGGCCTTTAATCCATTTTATTTTTGTGTATAGTGTTAGAGAATGTTCTAATTTCATTCTTTTACATGTAGCTGTTTTCCCAGCACCAGTTATTGAAGAGACTGTCTTTTCTCCATTGTATATTCTTTCCATCTTTGTCATAGATCAATTGACCATAGATGCATGGGTTTATTTCTAGGCATTCTATCTTGTTCCATTAATCTATATTTCTGTTTTTGTGCCAGCACCATACTGTTTTGATTACTGCAGCTTTGTAGTATAGTTTGAAGTCTGGGAGCCTCGTTCCTCCAGCTCCATTTTTTTTTCTCAGAATTACTTCAGCTATTAGGGGTCTTTTGTATTTCCATACAAATTTTAAAATTTTTGTTCTAGTTCCATGAAAAATTCCATTGGTAATTTGATAAGGATTGCATTGAATCTGTAGTTGTCTTGGGTAGTATAGCCATTTTGACAATACTGATTTTTCCAATCCAAGAATACAGTATATCTTTCCATCTGTTTGTATCATATTCCATTTCTTTCATCAGCATCTTACAGTTTTCAGAGTACAGGCCTTTTGTCTCCTAGGTATTTTATTATTTTGATGCAATGGCAAATGGGATTGTTTCCTTAATTTCTCTTTACAATCTTTCATTGTTAGTGTATAGAGATGCAAGAGATTTCTGTGTATTAATTTTGTATCCTGCAACCTTACCAAATTCATTGAGGAACTCTAGTGGTTTTCTGGTAGCATCTTTAGGATTTTCTGCAAACAGTGACAGTTTCACTTCTTTTCCAATTTGGATTTCTTTGGTTTTTTGGGTTTTTTTCTTCTCTGATTGCCATAGCTAGGACTTCCAAAACTATGCTGAATAAAAGTGGTGAGAGTGAACATCTTTGTCTTGTTCCTTATCTTAGAGGAAATGCTGTCAGCCTGATCTCACTGATCTTAGAGGAAATGCTGCCAGCTTATCACCACTAAGGATGATGTTAGCTGTGGGTTTGTCATATATGGCCTGTATTATGTTGAGGTAGGTTCCCTCTATGCCCACTTTCTGGAGAGCTTTTATCATAAATGGGTGTTGAATTTTGTCAAAAGCTTTTTCTGCATCTATTGTGAGATGATCACATGGTTTTTATTCTGCAATTTGTTGATGTGGTGTACCACACTAACTGATTTGAGGATATTGAAAAACCCTTGCATCCCTAGCATAAATCCCACTTGACCATGGTGTATGAACCATTTAACCTATTGTTGGATTAGGTTTGCCAGTATTTTGTTGAGGATTTTTGTATCTATGTTCATCAATGATATTGACCTGTAATTTTCTCTTTCTTTGTAGTATCTTTGTCTGGTTTTGGTATCAGGGTGATGGTGGCCTCACAGAATGAGTTTGGGAGTTTTCCTGCCTCTGTAATTTTTTGGAATAGTTTCAGAAGGATAAGTGTTAACTCTTTTCTAAGTGTTTGACAGAATTCACCTGTGATAGATAGAATTCATCTGGTCCTGCACTTTTGTTTTTCCGAAGTTTTAAAATCACAGTTTCAACTTCAGTACTTGTGATTGGTCTGTTCATATTGGTCTGTGATTGGTCCGTTCTTCATGGTTTAGTCTTGAAAGATTGTACCTTTCTAAGAATTTGTCCATTTCTTCCAGGTTGTCCATTTCATTGGCATATAGTTGCTTGTAGTAGTCTCTTACAATTCCTTTGTATTTCTGTGGTGTCAGTTGTAACTTCTCCTTTTTCACTTCTAATTTTATTGATTTGAGCCCTTTCCCTTTTTTCTTGATGAATCTAAAGGTTTATCAATTTTGTTTATCTTCAAAGAACAAGCTTTTAGTTTCACTTATCTTTTCTATTGTTTTGTTCATCTCTATTTCTGCTCTGATCTTTAAGATTTCTTTCCTTCTACTAACTTTGGGTTTTGTTTGTTCTTTTTTCTCTAGTTGCTTTAGGTGTAAGGTTATGTTGTTTAGTTGAGATTTTTCATTTCCTGAGGTAAGACTATTGGTATAAACTTCCCTCTTAGAATTGCTTTTGCTGTATCCCGAAGGTTTTGTACTGTCATGTTTTTGTTTTCATTTCTCTAAGTATTTTTTAATTTCCTCTTTCTTAGGTTATCCATTGGTTGTTTAGTAACATTGTTCAACCTCCAAATGTCTGTGGGATTTTTTTTTCAAATATTTATTTATTTATTTTTGGCTGTGTTGGGTCTTCATTGCTTCATGCAGGCTTTCTCTAGTTGCAGTGAGCAGGGGCTACTCTTCGTTGCAGTGCACAGGCTTCTCATTGTGGTGGATTCTCTTGTTGCAGAGCACTGGCTCTAGGCGATCGGGCTTCAGTAGCTGTGGCACACAGGTTCAGTAGTTGCAGCTCATGGGCTCTAGAATGCAGGCTCAGTAGTTGTGGCACATGGGCTTAGTTGCTCCAAGCATGTGGGATCTTCCCAGACCAGGGCTCGAACCCATGTCCCCTGCATTGGCAGGCGGATTCTTAACCACTGCACCACCAGGGAAGTCCCACGTTTGTGTTCTCTACAGTTGTTTCCTTGTAGTTGATTTCTAATCTCATAGCGGTGTGGTTGGAAAAGATGCTTGATATGATTTCAATTTTCTTAAATTTACCAAGGTTTGCTTTGTGGCCCAGCATGTGATCTATCCTGGAGAATGTTCCATGTGCACTTGAGAAGAATGTGTATTCTGCTGCTTTTGGATGGAATGTTCTATAAATATCAATTAAGTCCAAGCAGTGTTTACTTTCTGACATTACTAAGAATTTATTTTTCTTCTAGAAAAACAAGCAAAACTCGGGCTTCCCTGGTGGCACAGTGGTTGAGAGCCTGCCTGCCGATGCAGGGGACACGGGTTCACACCCTGGTCCAGGAAGATCCCACGTGCCACGGAGCGGCTGGGCCCGTGAGCCATGGCCGCTGAGCCTGCACATCCGGAGCCTGTGCTCCGCAACGGGAGAGGCCACAACAGTGAGAGGCCCACGTACCACAAAAAAAAAAAAGAAGAAAAACAAGCAAAACTAAAAAGTAATTGAAAAGTGACCCTGAATGAAATTTAAAACCCTCCAAAAAATGTTTCATGAACTCAGTACAATGATGCAGTACTTAGCAGGTCTTTGAATACATTTTCCAGAATGTAGCAGTATACTAGATGTTCTAAATTCAGGTTGTACAGGGGTCAGGTAGACAATGTAAGTGAGTGGCACGGGACAAGTGTTACTGTGGTAAACTGGAGAGTACATGGCCCTTCCCAAATGAGCTGCCACCACTGTGTCCCACAGACTGATGCCAGGAAAGAACACAGGCTGCAGTGTAGCCAGAGTTTCTGACGTTTAAAGAAAGGCAAAAATATGGACTTATTATGTGAAATTTCCTGATTTTTTAGAATGATGGCTCCAATTTTTTTTACAACACCATATGGGCCAAACAAAACATACCCATACATAGAATTGTGACTTCAGGTCCATAGTGCATGCTTTCTGAACTTTTCCAGTAACAAAGTCTTGCCATCATTCTAACTGCTTACCTCTTTATTTGTAGAGCCCAGAATAATGTGAAATACTAGTGCAACTGAAGTAAAACTCATCTCAAAATTATATGACAGCTAGTCACTTCTAATCATTTTGCTGAAAAACCAAATCCTGTTTACATCTCTAAGCATACTGGTTGGTAATAAAAGGAAAAATCTATTAGAATGAACGGAGAAGGAGTGAGGAAAAACTGAAGAAAAACACAATTTTAAGAACATAATCAACTTTTAGACTCCAAGGCAACAAAATAATCCACATGTTGAAATTTGAGAACTTCATTGCCCCAACTAGTCCAACCTGGCTGTAAATTTCGAGCAAACAATTCCAAACATTCCCCCTCTGGCTTGATATAGTCTTTTAGAACCTCTGTCCAGAAAAAAAGAGAAAATAACACAAAAATTATTATTAAGGAAGGAATCAATTTCCTTTAGCAGTAAAGAGTAGAAAAGCAGGGATGTTTCCTTAAAAAAAAAAAGGCAAGTTAATTTCAAGGATTTCATCACAGGCTTTACTATTTATAGTTAGAAAGTCATCTGAAATAAACACCCTTGAGATTGGGAACAATACCATCAGCACTTTCAATAGTCCTGATTTATCAGTTTTCATTTGTAGATAAGAAATGAGGATTTTAACACCCACACCAGTAACTTTTCAGTCTTCCAATAATGCTGACATAGCTCCTGAGTACTAACTTAATTTATTTTTTAATAAATGTAATCCATGCATGAAAAAAGTCTATAGGAACAATACAAAGACAACCCACTTTAAAAACTAAGATAAAACATAAGTCTCTGCAAAAACATACTTTAGTGTAAGAGTTGGAAACACAGAGAAATATTCAGAACATATATCTAACAAATAACTCTACCTCCTCAGCTATAACTTGGTAGTACTGAGAACACTCCTTCACTTCCAAATTACAGATCTTTCTTTACCTAAAATTTCACCATATTATTTCCACAGTTAAGTATTCCTTATTCAATGTATTCATAACTACTGAAAATTATATTTTGTTAGGAAAATGGCATCTCATCTATACCTTGGCTAAAGAGCTGTGATCTACACTAACAGAAAAAAAGAGAATACCGTAGAAGCTTTTTTTTAAAGCACATGCTCATTTGAATGACAAATATTTAAATCAATTTAACCTTGATCACGTTGCTGGTTAGCTATATTTTTTTGATATAAGTATATTCTACAACAGGAACTGAGTATGAAAATAACGATTCAGGGATGAAAAGTCACTAGAACTGGCAAAATATAGTTCTTAATTGCTATATAAGATTGAGCTTGGAAGAAACCCATCAAATTCCCTTTAGCAATGATAAGGGTTCCTTAGAAATACTTGATATAGGTTAGATGTGAAAGATAATATATAAAAAATGTATGTTTCATGTTCTTCAGATGATCTCACAGCAAAATAATTGTTCATTTGTCTGAAAGCACTGGTCCTGATTATCAAAAATCAAAGAGTTTAAAGTATTCATTGTCTGTAACTCACCAAACTCAAATCTGGGCTTTGATAGCTTCTAGGTGATGTTTACATGAGACTTCTAGTCCTTTCACAAGTATATAATTAAATGCTATTAAACTTGAGTGAGAAAAATTTCCCCAGAGTCTTAGAACAGTAAACTTTAATATCACTTTTCCATTTTTGCCCCATGAATTCAATGCCTTACTGGCCTCAATTCACTTTTAATGTGGTCTAAGGTTATACTGAAGGCAAGGTTTTGTTTTCTTGTTTCTGCTAGTTCAGTTCTTTGGTACAAAGATGTTAGCAACTCTATTTTGGAATTTTAAACTGGAGTCTAAACTGGAATCAGCCAGTCAATAATGTTTACTGTTTCTGAGGGACTTCCCTGGTGGTCCAGTGGGTAAGACTCTGTGCACCCAATGCAGGGAGACCAGGTTTGATCCCTGGTCGGGGAACTAGATGCTGCATGCATGCCGCAACTAAGAAGCCTGCATGCCACAACTAAGACCTGGCACAGCCTAGATAAATAAATAAATTTTTTTTTAATATTTACTATTTCTGAGCACCCATTATAAGTGCTATGGGACTTAACAAAAGAAATAGATATCCATGTCTTCTAAGAGTTCACAAGCTAATAGAAAAAGATGGCCAGGTACTTGGAGTGGAAAAATACATGAAATCTAAACCCATTTATCACCTTCTACTTTATCAATGGAACACATTTCTGCATGGCTTTTTTCCTTTCTAGTTGAGAAACACAGAAAATCAAGGAGTAATGTTTTTGTAATGTTAACCACATATGTTTAATTTCAAAACAAAGCAAAAGAAATAGAGGCAAATTAATGGGGATATTTTATTCTTACTAATTTTAAATTTCAATTTAAAAGAAAATGCAAGATCTTAAAAGTTCTCATCACAGGAAAAAAATTTTGTAACTATGTATAGGCTTATTGTGATCAGTGAATATGTATATATATCTTGAATCATTATGTTGTACACCTGAAACTAATACAGTGTTATATGTCAATTATCTCAATTTTTAAAAAGCAAATTCAAATGTATAAATTTAAATACGAGTATGACATATATATAAATAATTACATAACATCTGGCATTAGTAAAACATACTTGTAACCAATGGAGAGGAAGTAATTCATACATAGCCTGTCATTCCCCTTCTGCTTGGGAGCAAAGGGCATGGCTGGGGGAAAAGCGGCTCAAATGTCAGTGCATAGAATCTCATCAAACTATATTTAACTGTTCAGATAAAGTGTTGCAAGTAAAGTAGTAAAAAGGAGTAGAAATTCCTCTAAGGTACAATATGAAAAACAAAATTTTCATTCAAATACTTTTATTTCATGATTTTCCTACCTTAAATCTTTAAACTTAAAATATTATACATTTATGTTAGGTTGTAAGCCATAGCTATTGTTGGCTTATGTTTCAGTCTATAGGAAGAAATTTCAAAACTTAAAAAGAGTAAATGTCTCATTTTGAAACAGAATATGCTTCCAATTTGGTGTTTTTTACATTTTGCAGTAGAAATAACAAATTAAAACTTGTTAAAAGAAAAAAAAATTGGTGTTTCTAGAAGTAAAAGAGAGAACATTTCATTTTGTGAATTGGCATAAAGCAGTTTAAGAACATTTACATGTAAAAGTTCTAAGCATTACATAGAGAACATGTATTATCCAAAATCCTAGGGTTATGATTCAGAGTAAAATACTATTTTATTTATTTTTATTTATTTATTTTTAACATCTTTATTGGAGTATAATTGCTTTACAATGTTGTGTTAGTTTCTGCTGTATCACAAAGTGAATCAGCTACATGTATACATATATCCCAATATCCCCTCCCTCTTGCACCTCCCTCCCACCCTCCCTATCCCACCCCTCTAGGTGGACACAAAGCACTGAGCTGATCTCTCTGTGCTATGCAGCTGCTTCCCACTAGCTATCTATTTTACATTTGGTAGTGTATATATGTCCATGACACTCTCTCACTTCATAGTAATATATACTGCAGAAATCTGCAAGTTGCTTTCTGATGGCTTTGTGTGGCTCTGTATCCAAAATACAGGCACTTGCTATCCAGTAACATGAACTCAAAAATAAAGGATTATAAATACTTCTTGTCTACCAGTACTTAAGCAAAACATAAGAATAACATATATTGAGTCACACAAGATTTCCCCCCCCAATCTAACTTTTCTTTTTAAATATTCTCAATGCTAAAAATGTGTTTGTGCTGCTCTCTACTGGGAATACAGCAGAACTGCACTTCATAACTACAGGCCGTAATATGTACTAATTTTTATTAGTATTAATAAAAGACTAATTTTAATCACTATTTTATAAAACTTTATATCTTGTTTCTTTTTTGTTTGTCGGGCCTTACTGTTGTGGCCTATCCTGTTGCGGAGCACAGGCTCCAGACGCGCAGGCTCAGCAGCCGTGGCTCACGGGGCCAGCCGCTCCGTGGCTTATGGGATCCTCCCGGACCGGGGCACGAACCCGCATCCCCTGCACCGGCAGGTGGACTCTCAACCACTGCGCCACCAGGGAAGCCCTAAAACCTTATATCTTAAGACTACTCTTTAAACATCATCTATGTAAAATGAATTAAGAAATAGTTTAACTATCATTTGGGAATGAAAGGTTTTTTGGGTCTGGCGCTTGGATTTTTAAAAGTAAAAAAATAAGCCCTAAGACAAACCCTAAATTAAGCTTTGGTACTCACCAAATGATAAAGAAAATTCAAATGAGAAGAATACAAATTAGATTTCCTCCAATGAGTATAACTGGTGGCAAACATAATTTTTTTCTCAAAGAACAGTACAGCTTCACTTGTCACTTAAGTCAAATGTTTAATGCATTAAAGAATCTATAACAGTCCAAAGTCTACAGGATTCTTCACTAAGAATCCCTCTAAGTCAAAGAATGGATCAACAGGTAGACATCTGAACATTTCTCAAATGAATTAACACTAAAGACTCTCTGTATAATCAATTTAAGATAATAGAAATCTTAAATGCTACTAATAAGCATTCTCTTGGGAATTTGAATTCACCTTTCTATGTATCCTAGCTCATGAACTATCCCACATTCTGCAAAATCAGGTGATAAGCTGATAGCCTATAGTCTTCCTGAGTGGCAGCTTGAAAGTTTTGGTTTATTTAAGCCAGGACCACCAAATTAATAAAATATATATTTCTAAAGAAAAAATTTTAATAGTAAACTTTGAATGTCAAATTCAGTATCTCTCATATTCCTATTCCTATTACATTCCTATTTTTTTATTCTTTCACTTGAAAAATTTAGCATTTACTGATCTTCTACTATATGCTACAGAATTTCAAATATAACCAATCCTCACAACTCTGAAAGATTAAACATCATTATTCCCCCTTCAAATGTCGACTTTCAGGTGGAAAATTATTAGAGTAACTTGCTCAAGTAGCAGAACCAGGATTCAAACTCATGTTAGTCAATCTGAAAAGCTAAAGCTTTCCATATTCCTTGCTGCTTAGTTTCATTAAATGATGGACATTATACTAAAGTATTAAGACTAGTAAGAATTGCAGGCTGAAGCAATTACCTTTCCAATGGTTCAGAAAAGCAACACCACCTCAACATAAAACTGAGAGTGTCTACCAACTATCAAGGGAATTCTCGATAGCTGACCATCTCTCTGACTGCTTTCTGTGCTCTTGGCTTTAGAGCCAGCAAGGGATAGAACCCTGAGAGTACAATAAAGCACCTAGCAGAACTAGTCCTCACGTGCACCATCAGTCTTCATTCTGCTGAGGGCAATGATGGGATAACAACCCGGTTAGTAAGGGGAACCTAAAAAATGGTGACGAGGAAAGGCTGAGGTAATGTAAGACTAATCTGCACGGGTGCGCTGGGTGGTCACGTGGCTCCGTCTCCACTTCAACAGTGTTTTAACGTAACAGACCCTTTCTCCAACCACCAACCACCCTCCAGACTCCTTTCCAGTTGCGACCTCCAGGACCAAGCAACACCGCTTTTGCGGTCAGCTCCTTAGTGCCACCCACGATGACCTCCCAGATTCGTGAGAATTATTCCACCCAAGTGGAGGATGTGGTCACCCGCCTGGTGGACCTGCATCCGCGAGCCTGCTACACCTACCTCTCTCTGGGCTTCTGCTCCAAGCGCCACAACACGGCTCTGGAGGGCCAGGGCCCTGCCTCCTTCAGCGGGTTGGCCCAGCACCTCTCCAAGATGCAAAACCAGCGTGGCAGCAGCGCCCTGTTCCTGGACATGCCGAAGCCGCCCCAAGATGAGTGGGGCAAAGCTCTGGATGCCACAGAAGCTGCCATGGGCCTGGAGAAGAACCTGAACCAGGCCCTTTTGGGTTTGCATGCCCTGGGTTCTTTTAACACAGACCATCTCTGTGCCTTCCTGGGGAGCCACCTCCTGGATGAGGAGGTGAGACTCAGGAAGATGGGTGACCACCTGACCAACCTCCGCAGGCTGGCCAGCCCCCAGCCAGGGCTGGGCGAGTACTTAGGACCAGTAGCCTTTGAGCCTAACGGCCCTTGAGGGCCCAGTTCCACCTCCTGGTCTCAGGGCCTCTGCCTGAGCCTCTCCCTGTTGCCACTAGGCAGCTATGTAACCCCCTGGAGCTCTCTCCCAAGCTACAGACCAATTGAAAACAATAAAGCTTTCTGTAGCAAAAAAAAATCTATTCTCTGTTCCATAAATTCTGCTATATGATTTTAGAATATTAATTAAAATAACATATATCTGATTTAATTTCCAAATTTCTAGACTATTCAAATACTATCAATACATTCAACCCTTTTGTCAATTTCACATGTCATAACTATTTTATAAAAACATACCAGCAAGAGGTGGCTTATGTGAGTGAAGCGTACAGGGCACACTGACAATTAACTTGTGATCTGGAATGGGGAGCTCTTTTACATCTGCATTCCTATTAAAACAGAACAAAAACGTAAATTATATTTTAGAGGACAATTTTTTACATATAAGCCACAGTTGCCTTGATTTTTTTCACCTTTCCAATAGTATCTGAATTTATAATAACTTTAAGAATAGAAATAATGGAAATCAACAACCTAAGTATTAAGAAATTTCAGATAGTTTCCTTTTCTACAATAATGACTCTTACACATTAGATAAAGCAAAAGATAATATAAAATTTCATGTGCCATACCATTCACACTTTTCTCATCTCGGCCATTTTCAGATTTTCAAAAATGTAAAAATTAACGAAAACTAATGATCACTGTATTGATAACTTTTAAAAGCCTTAAAATCAATAAATTTATACAATTTTGAAAAATCACCTTTCCTACCTTAATGGTAAAGCAGCTTTTTCTCGAACTCTTCCCAGTATAAGACCTTCGTAAGGCTTTTTGTGTGGAGAATCTAATGGGAACACAAACTCTCCTGAACTGGTGATCTGAGAAAAAGGAGTCAAAAACAAAAACAACCCATACATCTGTAAATATCCAGGAAAAGGATTGGGTTTTTTTCCCTACCACTATACAATTTCCACCAAAGAAAAAGAAGTATTAAACCTCAAGGCTACCGCAGTCCAGTAAAAATATAATGTGGGCCACAAATTTAAGCCACACATGTAATTTAGATTTTCTAGTACCAACATTTAAAAAAGCAAAAAGAATGAGGCTAAATTAATTTTAATTGTATTTTAAGTTTTAAATAATTTTTAATTATTTTTAATTTAACCTAACATATCTAAAATATTACCATTTCAATATGTAATCAATTCAAAAATTATTGAGGTATGTTATATTCTTTCTTCCATACTAAATCTTTTAAACCCAAAACACTTATATTTTACATTTAGCACCACGTCTCAATTTGGACTAGCCACATTTCAAGTGCTGAAGAGCTACATACTGCTAGTGACTACCATAATGGACAAGGCAGCTATGAAGGACAAAAAAATTTTAAGTATCATTTTATCATCTTGCACACAAAAACTTCTATTTTTCATTAAAATTTATTATTGGAAACCATGCCATCATTAATTCATTTATTTGTTCAAATAACATTTACCTATTACTGGCAATGTGACTAAGTCGATTACAATAAAGTATTTTCCTTTACTTATAGGAAGCAATGGCATTAAATACTGTCAGAGCTAAAATTAATAATGAAAGAAGCTCAGGGATTGTTGAGATAGACAATACGTGGTCCAATTTCTTGGCATTATAAATCCAGAAATTCAATCTTATCATTTCATCCTGGAGTGATCAGACTCCCAAAGACTCACGTTAGCTAATCAAACTCAAAACACAATTTATAATAACAATATCAAATCATTAATTAAGCATGGAAGAAAATATTTTCACTATCAGAATATTCATATCTATTCTCTGTGGAACCCTTTACCCTATATCTAGGTATCTAAAAAACCAAGTCCTTTTATCACCTCTAGGGCCCATGAGAAACAGCATCTATTCCACACAGCACTGTATAAACACTGGCAAATTCTTATTCTTTGGATAGCCTTTATACTCAATGCAGATTACTCCTTCTGATATAACAATATGTTCAATTACCTAATAAGTATTTCATAAAATATATTTTTGTTTTAAGTTATAGTCATATCATACCATCTCATAGAACTGATTACTACCAGAAATGAACAGTCTTAGCTTTCATGTATTAACATTTTAGTGGTTTTGATTTCAGAAGGTAATCTTTTCGTGACTTTGGCCTCAGTCTCTGATTATAAAAGAACTGCCATAATAGACAGAGTGGAATAGAGTTTTATATTCCTGTTATGGTCCTACAGCAAATCAACCAAAGCTAAGCCCAAAGCACAACTGTAAAAGCAAAGACACAACTATAAGTGTTTGCTTGCCAAGTCTCACAAAATAGGTGCAAATAAATAATGTACACAGCTTTTAGAAGATATTCCAGTACACTACAAAGTACACAAAGCACATAAAAATAGAACCTGTGTCTAAAATGAATATACAGTTATATAAATATTATATAAATGTTGAAACATTCAACCCATAATAACCTGGTTTACCTTTTTAAAATTTAGGAGGGCTTTTGTGGAATTTACCTGGTAGACAATGTATCTTTAAAAGGATGTCCAATGAACTCTGAACTGATGCTTTATATTTTTGTATTTTTTGGTATTTTTATACCAAGCAAAGATATTAAAGATCATTCAACCAATCCAAGAGTTGGAATCATTTCTTTCAAAAACAGGCACTGAGGAACTAAGTTAAGGTTTAAAGTATAAAAGGTCCTTGCTTCTAGCATTTTCCCAACTCTTCCACAGTAGGTTTCTTTGCTATCTCCCTCTCATCCCCAGAAACATAAGAAAAAAATAAAGAAGGAAGGAAGGAAGGAAGGAAGGGAGAGAGGGAGGGAGGGAGGAAGAGAGGAAGGGAGGAAGGAGAAGAAAAAAGAAAGAAGGACAGAAGTCACAAAGGGCAGCTGAAATTTTGGATGAGTAAAGAGGAAGAAGATGAACAGTAAGACAATTTCTATGTTTAGTGATGGACAAATCCCCCAAAGTTTTTGTTTGTTGTTTCTTAAACTACAGACATCAGAGCTTTTTAAAATGTCATCCTGATAACTCCGAGTGATTTCTGAAGGCCAGCAGTTTGGGATTCTACTACAAAAATATACAGAACAAATAGGTAAAAAGTCTTGAGAATAAGAAGACAAAGGTATTTAGTAGCAAAGTAAACATTTTAATTAGACCATGTTGAAGGAGTAGAGCGGTGACATGTTAAGCATTAAAAAGTAGATGCTACCTTTATGTGACCTGTATGTCACATCTTATTAACAAATAAAGTTAACAAATACGTTAACTTCTAAACTTACTTTTACCCAGTGCCATTCAGCAACTATCTCCACAGACCAAGAAGGGTAAAGCTCTTCCTTAACAAAACGTAGGTGCTTCTGTCTATTCGTCACCCAAGTAACGACAAGACAGTTTGGAGCAGCCAGCTTAGGGATAGGTATCTGCTTTATTTGCAGTGGTGATAAATAACTATATCTAAAAATAAACAGAAAAAAATATTAGCAAAATTTGCTGCAAAAAAAGAAAAATAAGCAGGGAGAAGACCTGTATAACATCGACTCCACAAACACAAAGCTCCTATATTTATTTGTGCAACTAAATATGAAGCCACACTGACACCCAGTGGACACATTATTACACGCAAGTCAGAAATAATATTTTTAGTTTTTACTAATTTAAAATGATGAAGCCATATTTCTTTATCATTTCTAAACATATTACATTTCAGTAATTTTACTAATATTTTCTATATGCTTTTCTAACATTCAAAATTAAGCAAATATTATGGTTTGATAATCTGTACATTACAAAGGGACCCCATTAACAGTCTTGAAACTACTATCTCAATATCCCACGAACATCTTCAGTCTATCATCTTGTTTCTTTCATCCTTCCCAATCAGTTCTACTGGGCTCTCTGAAACTCTCATGCTTTCATTACAAAAAAACATTCTACAGTCTTGCACCTCCTGGTCGTTAGTAGTATGAAGTCTAGTTTCTCTTGCTAAAACACTACTTGCTCTACAATACCCCATCAAACCAATGTGGCCCTTTCTCCAGCACCCAACACACACAACAGAAAGAGGAGAGGTCAGTATTCTCCTAGCTCCCCTATTGCCAGTTCCAGGCTATCAGTCATCTACCTTTGTGTAAAATCCCCTTCTCTTTGAGAAGTATGCTATCTAGCTTCCAATGTTCCTTATCGAACCGATTACATCCTCACTCTCCATATTCAATGAGGATTTAAGTTCTGAGATCCTTTTACCTCACCAACATAAATCTTGCCAGTATCCTGGGCAATTTCAAAGCACAAGCTAAATAATGTACACACTCACCTATTCTTCCCCTAAATAAATACAATTGCACTCACCCCACTTCAATAATCCCTTCGAGTGGCCAAAACCTGGACGTTGGCATCACTCAAACTTGCTCCATTTCTGAAACCATATACACTAATCTCTGGCCATTACTTTTTTTTTTTTTTTACATATTTATTGGAGTATAATTGCTTTACAATGTTGTGTTAGTTTCTGCTGTACAACAAAGTGAATCAGCTGTAAGTATACGTATATCCCCATATCCCCTCCCACTTGAGCCTCCCTCCCATCCTCCCTATCCTACCCCTCTAGGCCGTCACAAAGCATCAAGCTGATCTCCCTGTGCTATGCGGCTGCTTCCCACTAGCTATCTATTTTACATTTGGTAGTGTATGTGTATGTCAATGCTACTCTCTCACTCCATCCCAGCTTCCCCTTCCCCCCACTGTGTCCTCAAGTCCTTTCTCTATGCTGTGTCTTTATTCCTGCCCTGCCACTAGGTTCATCAGTACCGTTTTTCTAGATTCCATATACACGTATTAGCATACGGTATTTGTTTTTCTCTTTCTGACTTACTTCACTCTGTATGACAGACTCTAGGTCCATCCACCTCATTACAAATAACTCAATTTTGTTCCTTTTTATGGCTGAGTAATATTCCATTGTATACATGTACCACATCTTCTTTATCCATTCATCTGTCGATGGACACTTAGGTTGCTTCCATGTCCTGGAAATTGTAAATAGTGCTGCAGTGAACACTGTGGTACATGTATCTTTTTGAATTAAGGTTTTCTCAGGGTATATGCCTAGCAGTGAGATTGCTGGGTCATACGGCAGTTCTACTTTTAGTTTTTTAAGGAACCTCCATACTGTTCTCCATAGTGGCTGTATCAATTTACATTCCCACCAACAGTGCAGGAGGGTTCCCTTTTCTCCACTCCCTCTCCAGCATTTATTGTTTCTAGATTTTCTGATGATTGGCCATTACCTCTTCTTCGTCACCAATTCTTTGACTTTATCAAAGCATTCAGTCAGTGCCCCCATTCCTCCACTTTACTGAGTCTATCAGTTTCTTCCTGCCCACACTTTCTCCTCTTCCTCACATACTACCAACCACCAATCACTTCACTGCCTTCTCACTAGCACCCCTAACTCCAATCTCCCCTTTACTCCTTCACCCCATAACTCCTGCAAACCTCCAAGCTTCAATTCAATTCAATTCAACTTCTTCATATGGAAAAAATCAGGTGGAGAAAAATGCTAAACTGAAGAATTGGCTCAATTAAGTCCATTCTCAGGTTCTCAAAACTACTCATCAATTCTTTTACTCATCCTTGGTCAACTACTACAAACCTTCATCTCTTTTCAAGTCTCGCCCAAACGCACTCTTTGTAGATGAAGTTAACGCATATATCAATTAAAAAAAAAAAGCCATTGGACTGCTTCAACTACCTAACCCTCTCCCGCCTGGTTATACGCTTTCACTTACCCATTGCTCTACATTTCCTCTTAAAGGATAGCATGGCTTCATATATTTAAAGCTTATCCCTCCAGCTGTGTTCTCTTATTCTCATCTTCTAGTCTATTAGTGAAGCTAATTACTCCCCTCCTGTATTTTCAACCTCTGTAGTAGTTCCTTACCATCAGCCTATAAATATGCTTATACTATACACTTTTCCTTTCTTTTCTTTTTTTTCTTTTTTTTTGGTTAGTTTTTCTATATACCATATACTTTTAAAGGAAAGAAGAGGAGAGAAGACTTGGGCGGGGGGAGGGTGGAGAAGGGAGAAAGAAAAGAAGAGAAGAAAAAATGGAGAAATACCCTCAGTTAGGTCTCCTGTCTACAGCTAAGTTAAGGACTGGCCTATCCAGATAATGCATAGTAATCTCCTTTTCTTAGCAGCCTTAATTCCATTTGGAATTTTAATTCCCCTTTTCTATGTAACCTAACATATTCACAAATTCCAGGGATTAGGACAAGGACATGGAGGCGGGTGTGGGGGGAGGGGAGACAACAGTATTCTACCTACCACAGATGCTAAAACTGGTAACAAGATATTTACATATATCACAGTATCTCCCTATATGATTTCCTTTTTAATTTTCTAATAAAGGAAAATTAGAAAATTAAAAAGAAAAATTAATTACCTATTTTGATAATTATATTATGATTATATAAGAAAATATTAATATCTTTGTTTTCAAGAAATACAGAATAAAATATTTGTTTTCAAGAAATACAGAATAAAATATTAATAAAATATTAATATTTTTAGAATTCTAAAAATTAATATTTTTAGAATTCTAAATTAATAATTTAGAATTATTTAGAATTAATAATTTATTTTTAGAATTCTAAATTAATAATTTAGAATTCTAAAAATTAATATTTTTAGAATTTTTAGAATTTAAAATATTAAATCTTTGTTTTCAAGAAATACAGAATAAAATATTTGTTTTCAAGAAATACAGAATAAAATATTAATAAAATATTAATATCTTTGTTTTCAAGAAATACAGAATAAAATATTCCAGAATAACTTACTTCTTCCTAAATAATTTATTCTTAAACAGTTCAGAAAAAAATTATATATACATAGATATCTACATACATGCACAAATACACACATATAGAGAATAGCTACAGGAATTCTTTGTATCATCCTTGAAACTTTAAGAGAAAAAAGTCCAATTATTGGTACAGCTCATAAACAAAAAGCATAAGAAAACAAGATTAATTGTGGAGAAGAAATTTCATACGAACTTTAAGTCAAGGTAATAGGAACTGTTCAGTCTAGAAAATCGAAGAGTGAGAGGAAATACAACTGAAGACATTCACTAGAACTAGAGGGAAAAATTTAGTTTTTTAAAAAGCTATTAAAAGGGAATGTCATCTTACTAACTAATTGAACTTATCACTCTAAAAGGTTACATAAACTAAATGGTGGCATAAATAAAAACAAATTTCAGAATGAAGTAGACCAATTCATTCATAGCAGTATTAAGGAATACTACATTTTGGCACATATTTCTAAACTTTAGAATTTGATATCAAAGAAGGCAAAAATGTTGCCTTTTGGTGTTATAGAAACATCCCTGAACTGGACAGTCAGTAACCTTAATCATTAATAAATATATTACTTTTAACATTCTTAACTTACACCTACATATAGTTCTAGTTCAAGAGAATTATCTACTTAAGGGAATTAAAATCTTAAAACGAAAGCATTTTAGTAGTTTCAGACAATCTATTATCATAAAGTAATGCTTTTAGCATATGTAACTAGAATGTACAAAGGACAATAGCTTTGAGAAAGCATATCTAGTAGATAAATTATTTATACTTACCTGTTACTTCTTTTAACTGATTTGTTCTGCCATGGTGGATCTATCACAATTACATCATATGTTTTCTTACCTGAAAACAAAGAGACAATTTCAGAAAATATCTTCTATACGTATCACTTTAAAAACTAAACATGTTCTGAGACTTCCTGGAGGTACAGTGGTTGGGACTCTGCACTTCCACTGCAGGGGGCATGGGTTCCATCCCTAGTTGGGGAACTAAGATCCCACATGCCACATGGCAAAAAAAAAAAAAACTAAACATGTTCTTCAACAATGAAGTGCATTCACTACAGACACAAATATACTGGAATGCAAGAAAAGGATTTGTGGCATTTATTCAAATAATTTATCTAAAAAAATTAAGAGATTCCCCTTATAATTTAGTACCTCTGGGATTTTAACATAATTTCACCTATTGCTCCCTTAGCTAGACATCAATAATTTATAAATGTCCTATAAGTATTGGTAGCCATATTAAAATGGTCCTTTCAAGCCTAGATAGGGTAGGTGTGGGTTTTTTGCTCCTGTTTTTCAACTTTTTACATGAAATAAAACTTGTCTTTTAACTGATACATTGACTACAACAAAATGTCCCCAATAGTCTACTAGTGTCCTTTTCTCTGGACCAGGATCACACATTGCATTCAGTTGCCACGTCTCCTAAATTTCCTCCAATCTGGAAAAGTTCCTCAGTCTTTCTTTGTCTTTTATGACCTTGATACTTTTGAAGACTACTGGCTAGTTTTATAGAATGTCCCTCAAGTTTGGGTTTGGTATTTCCTCATGATTAAACTTAGGTTCTTTGTTTTTGGCAAGAGTTATCACCATGCCCTTATCAGAGCCAACATTATCAGGAAACAGTGTCAAAATGTCTCATTATTAGTGATACTACCTTTGATCATTTGGTTAAAATGCTGTCAGCCAGGTTTCTCCAGTTTTACTTTTGTAATTAATAAGTATTTTGCAGGTAGATATTTTAAGACTGTGCAAATATCCTGCATCTCATCTTTTCATCCACTATTTTGACACCCAAATACTATGATGTCAAATTTCCAAATGGAAATTTTCTAGTTACATCATTCTACCTACATTTATTAATTGGAATTTTACTGTAAGGAAGAGCTGTCCCTTTTCCTTTTATAAACAATGTACAATGTACAATCTCACAAGTGATCAAAAGAATGAAAATTAAAATAAGGAAGTGATGGTTTTTAAACTATTAGGGTAACATAGATCAAAAAGAATGGGGAAAAAATGTTCAAATATAGCATGATTTTCTCATTAATTTGTTATTTTGTCATTTACCCTGAAGAATTTATGACACTGTGACATGAATAACCAATCATTTATAAGACGGTTTGAAACTAATTAAAAGAAGCTTTTCATTAATAAGCTATGTTATGTTAATAATGTAAAATTTTGCTTAAAAATGTCCAAATAACATTAAACAGCAGATTAAATTCAATTTGGTCAATATACCTCTTACCTACATCATCCCTTAGAATATTATAATAGTTATAATTTGTTAGAAACATATAAATCACTGAGCTAAGCTCATGATGCAGATTATCTCATCTAATCCCCAAAATTACCCTTGGAAGTAGGTATTATCATATCCATTTTATAGACTAGGAAACTGAGGCTCAGTTTTGTGAAGTGCCTAAAGACTCATAGTTAAGCTTCAGAATCTAAATTCAAATTCAGGTGTATATGACTCTGGACTTAAATATCTAAATTTTTAACTTTATACAGGAAAATATTTTGAGAAACTTTAGATAATAAACTTGAACAGTAGCTTAAAATGTAACCTAAAAGGCTAGGAATGGTTTGGGAATTAACATTCGTATATGAACTGTTTCTACTTTGCTATGAATAAAAGCTAAATAAAGTTATTTGGTCAACCCCAACTGTACCCTGAATTCCTAAGTACAGAACAGTACCTATGTTTACTCTCTTGGGGACTAGTTAACTTTTTGACCTTTTGTTTGTAATAAGAATTTTTTTAATTTTTAAGACAGAAGTCAGCACTTTAAAATTGAATTTAAAAGAAAAATACACTGAAAAAATTAAGTGTTTACCCTATCACAAAATTCTGGTGCTCATTCAACATTCAGACTTGTTCTTGACTTCTGAGGCCACAAAAAAATTATCTTTTTCTAATAATAAACATAATAATTACTTACAGCTCAGAAGCGGGTACATACAAGAAATGTCAGACAAAAGAAAACTGCTTTTTGGTGGCAGCAGGTATTTCTGTCCCATTAAAGTAATCATTTTTGTAAAGCTAGAGTTGTTTTCAACAATCCGTGAAAATAAATCCTGCTCTGTAACAGATATATCATCTTCCATCAATTGTAACGTCTGAAGTTCCACTTCATTCAGAGAAGGCAAATGCTTTGCCATTTCACATAATTCTGACAAATTGCAGGTATCAAGCGGTAAAGTAATGGGCTCACTATACTTGTCCCGTTTTTCATAAAGTGGATGAAGAAAGCCACTTTTAAGACCTTCTTGGATTAACTGTGAAGATCCATCCAAAATCAGCCCCCTGACCTGTAAGAGAATTTTTTTTAAGTACATTAAAAAGTCACTGATATTAAAACAATTTTCTAAATAATAAAGTTCCTACTATGCTTTGAATATTTCAACTCTTGGATTAAAATCAACATTCTTAATGCTTACAGGAAAATATCTTTATACTACAAAAAGAGTTAGAAAGTGTGAATATACCTTTGAAATGCTATTTCTTAACTGTGGAATGAAACAAATCTCATAAACTCACTGAAAATTAACTAACCAAACAATATATTGAATACGTAGAAAATGTATCTTTAAAACTTTATAAGATAAATTTGATAATGTTTCTAAAAGAAAGTGGAATTTCTAATTTATAAAAAGAATTAAGGGAATTCCCTGGCAGTCCAGTGGTTAGGTCTCCATGCTTTCACTGCCAAGGGCACGAGTTCAATCCCTGGTCGGGGAACTAAGATCCCGCAAGCTGTGCAGTGTGGCCAGAAAAAAAAAGAATTAAGTTTAAATCATATTTAATCTTAAATTTTTCTAGTAACTTAATTTTTTACATATTTATTTATTTATTTACTTATTTGGCTGCACCGGGTCTTAGTTGCAGCATGCAGGATCTTCATTGCAGCATGCGAGATCTTTAGTTGCAGCATGTGGGATCTAGTTCCCTGACCAGGGATTGAACCCAGGCCCCCTGCATTGGCAGCATGGAGTCTTAGCCACTGGACCACCAGGAAAGTCCCCCTAGTAATTTAATTTTAAAATAAATATACCTTTGATTTTATAAAATATAGCTTGAATTGTAAAAAAGAAAAAAGAAAAAAATTAACTCTATAAAATGAATATATAAACAAAGGTTTTCAATAATACAACCAAAATAATTATAAAATTAAAAGCCAAGTTCTGCTTCTAGACAAGATGGAGTACCTTTAATCTGAAATTACTTTTAAAAAATTATTTTTAAAAAATGGTTTTTAGACCTTGGATGGATGTCAAGCAGTGTAGAACAGTAGTCCCTAAAAAAGGAGAAACCAGTTGCTCCAGCTTACTGCCTTGAGAAAGTTTCTAGGTAGCAGTACAGGAAAGAGACCCATTCAGAGTCCAACAGTCTCTCTGAATTAAGGAGATACAGCTGGGAGTCTGGAAAGGCCAAGGCAGCTAGAGTTTGCAGGGAAGGATACCAGAGAGGAGAGAGCTGCAGAGGGTCAAGTCTCCAGCTGTGATGAAATACCCAAGGTCAGGGAAAGAACCAGATAAAATGATCAGAGGGAGAAATCCCCAGAGTTCACACAGGGCTTGTGCAGCCCATTTTTAAAGATTAGGAAAAAAAAAGTAGAAAGGGATATTAAGGCACTCATTATAACCATATTCATATGTTCAAAAATGTAAAGAAAAAAATGAACCTGTTAAGAAGAGATAGGGAAACTATAAGAAAAGACCAAATTGAGTGTCTAGAAATTAAAAACTACAATGCACAAGTGAAAAATACACTACATTGGAATTACAGCAGATTAGACACTGAAGAAGAAAAGGTTAATGCACTTGAAATCAACGCAATAAAAGCACCCAAAATGAAGGGGACAGAAAATATATTTGAGGAGATAACAGCCAAAAATTTCTAAATTTGCTGAAGACTATGTATTCACAGATCCAAGAAGATCAACAAATAGAGGAGGAGGAGGAAGAGGAGGAAGAGAAAACTACATTAAGGAACATCACAATTAAATTGCTGAAAACGCTCAAAGCAGCCAGAGACTTCCACTTCCAACCAAGATGGAGTAATAGGGACAAAAGTTTTCAAGACACTGGACATCAGACCACAAAGGAGAGCGAAAGAAATCATAGGCAAGCCCTATGACTGCCCCACCTAACTGCCTGGAGATTTTCCAAGGCACAGGAAGAATCTGGGCAGAGTCTAGAAGAAATCCAGAGTTGAGGAGACAGAGCTGAGAATATGGGGAGGCCAAGACAGAGTACCCAGGACAGTATCAGAGAGGAAAGAGCTGTACAGAGAGAACTCTGTTGATCTGCAGGTAGTCACACTGGAGAAATTCCCCTAAATACTGATCACTCCAAGTGTGTTGGGGAACTATCCAAAGCCAAGAAAAGAACCACCCAAGAGGACTAAAAGAAACAGTGTCTTGAGCTCTCACAGGGCCAAGAATAGTACTTGTTTCCAACACTCAGACCAGAAAACATCATAATTCACAAGGCAATCGGGTGACATTTCACCATGGGTCTCGCTGTGTGAGCAGAGGCACTGATAGCTTTTGTTCCAGAATAAATTTTCAAGGTGTTGGTTTGTAACCTCAAGAGCTTCCCAGGTGAAATCTGAAACTGGCCCCTGTACACAGAGGGCAAGGAGAGACCAAAGAAAAGAGGCAGACTACTCTAGATGGGAAGATGGCAGATTTAACAACAAGAGAACTTACAAACGAGGCTTGTCCTGGGAGGCTGCAAGATAAGTAGATCTCTGTACCTGTCGCCCAGAATTCCAAAAGTTTATACAGAGTTCTTAACAGGGTTCAGTCACATACACAGTCCAGATCGTCTCAACAACAGCTTACTCTCTCAAGGCTATGTCCTTGAAAACAGCTCCCACTGTGGGAACGGTGGGCAGAGTGTACAGTCCAAAGACAAAGGAGGGGTGAGGAGCCTCCAAGTGTCCAGGTCAACCAGTGGTCATATCCTCAAGATCAGTTCCTCCAACACAAGGATATTCATATAGCATGGAAGACGGAGATCATGTCTCCCTCCAAGCCAGAAGGCAGATCTGTTTGCTGTCCAGGTTAATAAAGGCTCACTCTGGGACAAAAGGCTGGACAGGTTTGTTTGCAACCCATTTTAAAAAACTGGGGTTCCCTAACCTTGGGGTTCTTTAGCTATGAACCAAATCTACTGCATGCAGAGCATACACCGAGGCTCCTTGGCATCATCCCCATGGAGTATAAGGGAAGTCTGTGAACAAAAAGTATATGCTTCCTGTTGTGCAGGGAGCAATAAACTCCTTATTTTAATAAAATCTTAGGTCTAAATCTATTTTAATAAAATCTGAGACCTAAACTTGCTAACTTGTTAGCTTCCAAATAGAGTAAAATCTCAGACAGTTCATCCCAGTTCTTGACAGGGGCACTGGGTAGATAACAGATTTTGTGTCAGTAAAAAGGAATAATCAGCCTTAGTCTAAAAACATCATTCTAAATTCACCTAAGAAAAATCTACCCAGTAACTGATAGACCAATTAAACCAAAAATCTCTAAAGACACAGAAGTTCTGAACAACACTACCAACTTAACCTGACATTCATAGAACACTGCATCCAACAACTATAGAATACGTATTCAAAAATACATTAAGGGGGCTTCCCTGGTGGCGCAGTGCTTGAGAGTCCGCCTGCCGATGCAGGAGACGCGGGTTCGTGCCCCGTTCCGGGAAGATCCCACATGCCGCGGAGCGGCTGGGCCCGTGAGCCATGGCCGCTGAGCCTGCGCGTCCGGAGCCTGTGCTCTGCAAATGGGAGAGGCCACAACAGGGAGAGGCCCGCATAACGCAAGAAAGAAAAAAAAAAAAAAAAATAAAAAAAAAAAAATTATAAAAAATACATTAAAAATAGCACACAATACAGTCACAAAGATAATTCATATGCTGGACTATAAAGCAAGGCTCAATAAGTTTAAAAGGATTGAAATCATCAGAGTATATTCTTATACCCCAACGGATTTAAGTTAGAAATCAATAACAAGAAGATATTAAGATAAACCCCAAATATCTGGGAATGAAACAGCAGACTTCTAAATAATTCATATAGGTCAAAGATAAAATCACAGAGGAAATTAGAAAATATTTTGAAGTGAATAAAAGTGAAAATACAAAATATCAAAATATGTGGAATGCAACTAAAGGAATGATTCAAGGCAAGCTTATAGCTTTAAGTGCTTATATTAAAAAAAAATCTAAATTCACTGACAAAAGCTTCTACTTTAACAAGTTAGAAAAAGAGCAAAGTAAACCAAAAGGAAGAAAATAATAGAGAACAGATATCAACAAAATAGAAAACAGATAGACAGTAAAGAAAATTAACTAAGTTAAAAGCTGCTTCTTTGAATATACTTGACATCAATTCATGTGTCTGATAAGGGATTGATATCCAGAATATAAAAGAACTCCTAGGGAATTCCCTGGCAGTCCAGTGGTTAGGACTCCAGGCTTTCACTGCCAAGGGTGCAGGTCCGATCCCTGGTCAGGGAACTAAGATCCCAAAAGCCGTGCAGCACAGCCAAAAAAAAGAACAAAACTCCTAAAACTCAATAACAACAACAAAAACCCAACTTAAAAATGAGTGAAGGACATGAATAGGGACATGAACAGACATTTCTCCAAAAAAGACATACAAACGGCCAACAGCACATAAAAATATGCTCAACATCATAAATCATCAGAAAAATGCAAATCAAAACCACAGTGAAACACCACTCACACCCATTAGAATGGCTGTTAAAAAAACAAAAACAGAAAATAAGTGGTGACATGGATATGGAGAAACTGGAAACCCTTATGCATTGCTGGTGGGAATGTAAAATGGTATAACCACTGTGGAAGACAATAAGGCAGTTCCTCAAAAAATCAGAATTATCATATGATCCAATAATTCCACTTCTGGGTATATTCCCCCAAAAATTGAAAGCAGGGACTGGAACTGATATTTGTACACTCATGTTCATAGCAGCATTATTCACAATAGCTAAAAGGTGAAAATATCCCAAATGTCCATTAACAAAAAAATATATAAATAGGCACTTCCCTGTTGGGGGAAAAAAAAAATCATTCAGGAGATAAATAATGGTGATGGTTACAAAACAATGTGAATGTACTCAGTACAAGTGAATTGTACACCTAAAAATGGTTAAAGTGGTAAATTTTATTTTATGTATATTTTGCCACAGTAAAAAAAAAAAAAAAAAAGCTACAAAAAAAAGCTGGTTCTTTGAAAAACAACAACAACAAAATAACAAGCACCTAGCAAGAAAAGGAAAGAATACAAATCACCAACATCAGGAATGAAAAGGGGTATCACTTATCATCACAAATCCTACAGACATTAAAAGCACGATAAGAGAATACTATGAACAACTTCATGCCAATAAATTTGACAAGTTGGATGAAACAGACAAATTTCTTAGAAAATACAACTTGCCAAAATTGATATAAGCAAAAGCAGAAAATCTGAAAATCCCTGTTATCTATTAAAGAACCTTATATTGTTCCTAAAAACCTTCCCCAAAAGGAAACTCCAGGCCTAGATAATTTCACTGGTGAATTATTTCAAATATTCAAGGATGAAAAAACACTGATCCTATGAAAACTTCAACAAAGAATGTATAGCAGATGGATGTATATGGATGTATAGCAAATGAAAAGATTCTCAACATTATTAGTCATTAAGGAAATGCAAGTTAAAACCTCAGTAAAATACCACTACACACTTAAAAGAATTCCTAAAATCAAAAATCTGATGATATCAATGCTAGTGAGGATATGAAGCAAAGAGAGCTCTCATACTTTGCTGGTGGGAAATACAAAACAGTACAACTACTTTGGAAAGCAATCTGGCATTGTTTTATGGAGATAAATATAACATTAACCATGAAACCAAAAATACCATTCCAACATGGAAATTTAAAACTCTATTACAAACAACTCTTAAGCAAATCTCTAGAAAACCATGATATATCAATGAAATTTCACATCATGACAATTACAACACAACATATCAGAACCTATGGTATGCTGCAGTGCCCCAAGAAAAAAAATCATAACATTGAATACTTCCATCAAAAAAAAAAAGAAAAAAAAAATGAACTAAGACAACTCAAAAAGTCAAAAAAAGAAAAAAACAGAAGGAATAAATTAAAATGGATTAAAGCAGAAATAAGTTAGACATTTTTAAGGTAAATTAATTTCAAAAACAACTAATAAATTAGGCAAAGCATTAGCTAATCAAGGAAAAGGGAGTAAACATACAACATAAATAGTGAAGGCAAAATAACCACAGAAACAGACTATTCATAAAAAAATTTGAAAAATTAGATGAAATAGATAATATTCTAAGATAACATAATTTACCAAGATTGACTACAAAAGAATTTTTTTTAATCTAAAGTTGACTTCCAAAGAGGAAAAAGGAAAAGCTGTCAAAGAAGTATCCCACAAAAAAGCAACATACTGAGATGGATGCAAAGGGGAGCTCTACCAAACTTTTAAAGAACAGATTACTCCAGAGAATGGGGGAGAAAAAAAGGAAAACTTTCAACTTCCAACACTGAAATATGTAAATATCTGTATATAATTATATATATAAAACAAAAAATTAAATATATCAGACCAATCTCACTTAAAATAGTAGCAAACAAAATCGAGCAGAACATTTAAAAAATAATACATCATGGTCATTTGGAATATATACTACAAATGTAAGGTGGTTACATATGATTAAAAATCAAAAGAAAATATTAAGAGAAAAATCATCCATTCAATCTCCATAGATGCTTAAAAACCATTTGATAAAATTCAGTAACCACAGTTGATAATAACACTCAATAAATAAGAATACACAGAAACTTCTTTAACATGCTATTTCCAACTCAGCCCAAAACCCAGTGGAGAGGAAATCATCTCCTATAAAGTCAGGGACAAGGATAGATACTCTCACAAATGTTACTTAATATTGTATCATATTTTCCAGCCTATACAATTAGAGAAGATAAATTAGGGATATAATAATTATAGAGGTGTAAGTAAAACTATTAATATTTGCAAGAGTTATAATTATTACCTGAAAAATCAAGACATTCAATTTTTTTAAATTAATGCTAGATGTATATAAAGAAAATTTTACAGAATAACAACAGAAACTTAAACAAATGAAAAGACACATTTATGTTTTGGAGTAGGATCACATCTTAAAGATGCTAATAGTAAATGTTTATAAATTTGATTGCCAAAAAAATTTCAATAGGTTAGTTTTTCTAACCAGACACTAAAATTGATCCTAAAATTCATGTGGGAAAATAAACAAAAAGCCCAGGAAAATTCTGTAAAAAGTAGCAATGAGAAGATGGCCCAGGATGGGGGGTGAGGAGGTGGAGGGTGGGGGAATAAGTACTACCAGATAAGATATTAAAACATATTCACATTATAAAATCTCAAAAGAGATTGGCAAATAAATAGTGAGACAAACAAGTAAGACTTAAAGTCCAGGAATAAACTCAAATACTTATGTGAATTTAGTATATCAAGCATCTCATATAAGGAGGGAAAAACTACATGAATAATGGTAGGACATATAGGTAGTCAATTGGATCCATACCTCACACTGTATACCAGGATAAAGTCTAAATGGATCAAGATATAAATTTGAAATAAAACCATAAATGTTCTAGAATAAAACATGGGAAATTATTTTAAAACCTTGAAGAAGGAATACTTCTCTAATTATGATTCCAAAATTCAGAAGTCATAAAAGAAAAAAATGATAAATTCAACTAAATCAAAATATAATATTGTTTGCATGGCGAAACCAAAACCAAAAAAAATCATAATTAAAATTAAAATGACAAACTGGGAAAAATATGCTTGTAATTTACATAATAGACAAAGACCTAATTTCCCTAGCATATAAAGAGCTCCTATAAATCAGTAAGAAAAAGAACAATCCAATTTTTTTAAGTATGCAAAGGAAACAAACAGTTCACATAAGAGAAATACAAATGAATTTTAAACATACATTACAATGTTTAACAACATTCATAATAAGAAATGCAAATTAAAGCCATACTAAAATACTATTTTTCAACTATTAGATTGGCAAACATCAAAAACTATACTATACTGTAATGGTGAGGATGTGGGAAAACAGGCAAAATTATACATTTTTAGTGTGCTAATAAGATGATACAATCTCCATAGCAGCAATTTGGCAGTATCTATCAAAATGTTCAAACCCTCTGACCCAGAAATTTGACTTGTCGAAATTTATCCTGCAGATACCACACATAAATAGAGAAAATGACACGTGCATACTATACCTAAATGTCAGCAATTAAAGATTAATAAAAGTAGGAAAGACAATGAGATCTAAAACAATTTGTACCCTCTGTTTCCTCTTATTTCTTTAACTCCCAGATCTCAGTAACCTCTAAGTTCTAGAAGTACATCCTTCATATTATTCACTTTCTTCTGCCACTATCTTAAGTTGTTTTACCTACTGACAGCAGGCTTTTATAACTCAGAAAATTTCTGGACTTAACCAATATAGCATACGTTTACTTATGTTAAATATGTAAATGAGAAGTATATGAGATTTTAATAAAAATTGGTTTAAATTGTTCATTACAATAAAAGTAATGATAAATCACTCCACTGTTAAATTCTAACCTTGATCAAAATGACTGCTTGAGGGACTTCCCTGGTGGTGCAGTGGTTAAGAATTTGCCTGCCAATGCAGGGGACACGAGTTCAAGCCCTGGTCCAGGAAGATCCCACATGCCACAGAGCAAATGAGCCTGTGCACCACAACTACTGAGCCTGCACTCTAGAGCCCGTGAGCCACAACTACTGAGCCCGCAGGCCACAACTACTGAGCCTGCGAGCCACAACTACTGAAGCCCGCACACCTAGAGCCCACGCTCCGCAACAAGAGAAGCCACTGCAATGAGAAGCCTGTGCACCATAATGAAGAGTAGCCCCGGCTCACCACAACTAGAGAAAGTCCGGCAGCAGCAATTAAAACCCAACACAGCCAAAAGTAAATATAAATAAATAAATAATAATTTTTTAAAAAATGACTGATTGATTTTTAAGAACATCCTTATTTATACTAATTCACATTAACCTTCCAAAGTCATCAATGAATATTTTACACCGTACCTTTGTATGGTATTCCATAGCATCCAATTCACCTTGATTGAAAACAACACATCTCTTACGCTTCTAAAGAGGGGAAAAAATTATGTGGCCATCATCAAAATAATGATATTTTGAAATATATTAGTACTTCTTTTTTTATCACATTTTCCATATTGTGTATCTCATTCTTTAAGAGGTAATAATTAACTACTGAGGTCAAAATAAGTGCAAAGAGTATGGACTGGGGAGGTAAGATTTCCCAAATAATAATAATAATTATTATTACTATTATTACAAACTTAATGGGTGATAAAAGGCCATGTAGGCGTTATCTACTATTAGTAAGAACTAGTATGACCTAATAAAATGGCACTGACATCCATAGAACACAAGGAAACTGTGACACTGTATAAGAGTCACCAGTGTCATCTATCAGTTGATATATGGTATAATTATTCTGAACTTTCTTAATTTCTACAACAAAAACAATTTGCAATGTACTTTTAATAGATCTTTATGTGTAATCTGAGGATTAGGTAAAAATAAGATATATTAACACTGTTCTACATCTAACAACTCCATAGCAAAGAACATGTAAGTCTGCAATATAGAGCAGGGACTTTGTACTTTTCATTGCTGAAATCTCAGTGCCCACATGGTGGCATAACTCCTAGCAGGCTAACAACAAAAGTTCTTTGGCTGAATAAATACATGGACTCTCTATTACTTTCCTTATTCTAATTCTCAACATGCTTTCTTATTTAGTATCTTTCTTCCCCACTCAACTGTAAGATCTAAAAAAGGCAGAGATTATATTTATCTTGTTTCATCACTCTTTGTACAACAGCACATAGAAAGATCTCAAACATTTATTGGGTGAATAATGAATGTAATTCCTATCTCTAACAAAGAAAATGTTAATATAATCTATCTGAAATGGACTTTGTATAATCACCTCTGAGCTCTTCAAATACATAAAAAATATTCAAGCATAATTAATTTGACTCTATATGGCACTCTCAAAACTTTTGATTGCACCAATGTGTACACAAATATATATATTTTAAGAATATATATTTTCCATAGTCGCTGTCTAGTTTTATCACTAGAAAATTTTCAAAAATTATCACCCTTCTTCCAAACATTTATTATACAAGCTTATCCCCAAAGGATAAATCTCTAAAATTCCCCCTTTATACTGCTATATACTGCTTTAGAATTTTACAGAGAAAGGAACATATTTTTGAGCAAAAATAGGTGTAAAAACCTGCAATTAATACGAAAACCTAGGCAGACAGGGTTTCTTTTTTTTGTTACTCAGTTTTGTTTGTTTAATTTACAGAGCATTCACTTTTGAATCAACTTTGCTTACTTCTGAAATATGCAAATTTGGTCTTCTAAGAATGGTAGAATGTTAGCAAAAAGTTAAAAATCGCTCTGGATATGCTAAAGTCTTATTATGCTTTATTGACTATTCTTTATACTTAGTAAATCACAAGATATTTGAGATGCTGGAATAATAAATTTGTGTTCTCTGTAGAAAAATTTAAACTTCTTAAAACTTATTACCTTCCCACTAACAGAAATGGAGATTTCTTTCTTAACATCATTTACTAGATCTTCCTTTTCATTACTTTGTTGGCATTCTTTGTGAATAGCAGAAGTTATATAAGGTTTGGTGACATCAAACAGTTCAGATCGAAAAACATATTTTTGTATGAACATTTCACAATTTCCTCCATCATCATTTTCTGGCTTAGTGGTAGAAGCAATACAGGTAGCAGAGGCTCCAAAAGAGGACATAGAATCCATGTGAAGAGCATCAAGGTGAACAGAAGAAGTAGGCTCATTTTTACTGCAACAAGGCTCATGATGCTGGTGAAGTTCATAACTTATCTTGTTAATGAAAGAAAGATGATCCAGTAACCATCCTGGCGATAGCTCACGCACCACAGACATTCTTCCTTTAAAACAAACAAACACCTCTGAGAATTAGACACTAGAAGTAAAACCCAACTTTCCTAATTAAGTTCTAACCTCAGACGGGAAAGGTGACGTGCCCAAAATTACAACTGGTTGATGGCACAATTGCTACAAGACCCAGGTATCCAGACTTCGGCTCTGAGCTCCCCTCCCACCACCCACCACTCTCCAAGTTTGGGGCTGTGTTTGCCTCTGAGTTCAAACGCAGGTAAGGGGGGTATATCATATTTTAGCAAAGTAACCTACTGTGCTCAGGTCACTTTTCTCTCCTAATTCTCAGCCCCACACTGGATCCTCCAGCTTTCCGCAGGCCACCGCTAGAGCACCTGGAACCCCAGAGAGCACTCATGCCCTGAGCCCGAACCCTGGCGGCGGCCTCATCAGCGCGACCCTGGCCGACTGCGCCCACACTCGGCCGTCACTATCTCCTACCTCGCCACCCCCCTTGTCAGAAAAGTGCACCCCGCCTTCCCAGACTTGATCATGAAACAGCACCCATCTAAACAGTAGTCCTGAAAGACACTCCTTTCAGGGCAAAGGAAAAAAAAAAAAAAAATCTTTTCTAACAGTCAACGGGAGCCGCCATGTTGCTGTACGGAAAAAAACGTTTCAAGGGCTGCCTGGAGCGCTCTGCTCGCTACTCAGGGACGTAAAGCGCTCGGGTGTTCACAGCTAAATTTAAGGGTCGGACCAGACTTCTCAGAGAACGCTTACAGCTGCCGGGACACGCCCGAGCGCGCGCGTGAGGCGGCAGCACTTCACCAACACGCAGAGTTCCGGCGACGAGCGGCGCGCGAGAGTTGCGCACGCGCGCGCATGTCGTGCGCGATGACGTAAGCGACGCCGGAGATTTTAAAATTCGAACGGCGCCGGCGGGTGGAGGAAGGAGGTTGTGTTTTGGCGGCTGACGTCTTGTCTAGCGGGCAATAGCACGGTTTACAGCAGTTCGGTCCCTGCGTCGTATCGCGAAGCTGGAAGAAAGGTAACTAATGACTTTGCGTTAATTTTGTTCCGGCAGCACTGGGCTAGAGGGAGAACGCCAGGGCGCCAAAAAGATTCACGGGCCCTGAGGAGCGACGTTTTGGTGTTTGCTGTTGTAACCGGCCCACGGGCCCCATCTGTTCGAGGCGCTAGTTTCCCGGAGTCCAATAAATTTCTTATGGCAGTGATTTTCCAAGGGAGAAGGGGAAGGCCAAGGTGACACTGGTGGGGTGAAGAGGACATGGAGAGAGGAAAAGGGGAAGAATGGATGGGAGCAGGGAGAGGAAGGACGAGATGAAGAACTGTTGGCTGTGGTGCGTTTGAGATACTAGTGTAACATCCTGGTGGCCGTGTAAGGAGTACATCTGAATGTCTTAACCTCAGATTTTAAGAGTACCTTTTAAGTGGAGATTGGGAGTGGACAGATAGGTGAGAGTGGAAAAGTTTAATAGATCAGAAGTGTATACTGAAGAAGAAATAGCCAAACAAAGAAGGAAAGAGGGTAATCAGTTTAAAAG